ATCATTTAGTTGAGACTCGTTGAAAACTAATCATGTCAGTAATCGCTCTTAATCACGCCATACGTTTAAATTAATGCTTCACTTTCAATTATATTTGATTGAGCAAATTAATTAGATACATGTTTACGTAGCATATGGGGGAATTAATATAGAATTTTTCTTCACTACTTTTACACATTCTCAGTTGCATACACGTGCATCAGAAGTACATATCTACAAAAGAAAGAAACCCCTAAATTTGTTGCTTTAATTTATTCAACTTTTCGTACTATAAATTGGCAGCCGTTCCCTTATCTACATCAATATATTAATACGTTAACATAAATTTTATCACCGTTTGTTTAGCGATTCTTCCGAACCGATTTTAAAAGATAACAAATTTGGGAAAATATATTTCTGTAGATAAAGAGAATTTTTATGTTTTCGAAATTGGTTAAAACTTACGGCCAGAATCGTCGTTTAAAAATTTTCGTATTTATGTATACATACTCATTGTTGCAACTTGTTCAATTTGAGTTGTTTTTGTATTTTTTTTTACTTTGTATTGAAAATGAAACTTTGTAATTGAATTAAGTTGAATTTTATTTATAAAACATGTGGCGACGCCGCTAAATATAGTTCAGAAATAAAGATTTCTCAAACCCATTCGATTGATACCCATATTTTAAAGAATCATTTGGTAATTTGCAATAAATTTTTAGACAGTTGGCAACCCTCTTCCAACACCTCAAAATATTCTTAATGTTTAAACTAAAGACTTGTTAACTCTTTTGTTTGACATCCAAATTTTGACATTTCATAAGACTTTTGGATAAGTTAACTAAATTCGACATTTCAAGCAGTTGGCAACCCACTTCAAAATATTTTCAAACTGCTACTTTCTGAGCCCCCTTTCGTTTGGCAGCCATATGTTGGAACATTTAATTTCATTTTTTAAACAGTTGGCAACCCTCCTAAAGTAAAGTTAAAAGAGAAAGATTTTCAAACCCATTTCCATTGATACCCGTTTTGTAATATGCATTTTATTTATTTTTTTTAGATAATTTGAATATAATTTTTTAAAAAGTGGAACTCTCTTCAAAAAAGTAAAACCTTATTGCACATCAGCAGTCCAAGCCAACCAGAAAAAAAAAGTTCACCGTTACCCCTCAGTCAAAAATATTTTTGACCCGTAATTTTGAAAAAAAAAAATTTTTGCAGAACCTACATTTTTTTGGCGGCACCTACATTCGTCAATCAACAAATTTTTTTTAAATAGTTCTACACGTATAATCCAAGCGCTTTCTTAATAAAAGTTTATTGTTTTTTGGAGAGCTTTATTTTACTGACCCCTACTTTCGGCCAAAAAAAAAATCAAATTTTTCGAGGTTGTATAGCAAAAATACTTTAGATTCAGAGTTTTTCTGGTACGGTCTAATGTACATATGTATATGAATATTTATGTACATTAGGGTGCTTCACTTTCCATACAAAAAAAAAATTGGTTATGTTTTTCCACTGGAAATATGAAATGTATTATATTTTAGCACATCCGCCAAAATAATCCGGTAAAGTATTAAGATCTATGTAAGCTGGGCCTATTTATAAATACCTCAGAAAATGGAGTTTTTTATGAATGAAACTGCTTTTTTATATTTATTTCTAAAAAAACACAAATTTTAAATTTTTATCAACGGAATCAGAATAATAAGGCTTTTGGAAATATTTACAAATCGGTCTAGCTCACATAAACCTAAATATTTTTTCGAAATATTTTGGCGAAGATCTTAGACTATAATAAACTTTTTTGGTGGTACGCCCTAATGTACATACTTACAATCAAATACAAATGCACATTGCACACTATCCTTTGACTTTTCGGGCAAAAACATTCTTTTGAATATACATATGTCCATATGTACTCGTATCATTTGTAGTATGCAGCACCATAACAAGCGAACATTTGCATTGGCGACAACTCCTTGCATCATTTCGTTCATTTGTTGCGTGCGCCGGGCGGCAAAAGTGCTGACATATTAATTTGTATGTGGTAATTGAATTTTTAAATATTTAAATTTAATTCACATTTTAAATTGTCAACACATCGTACACAAGTCCTTCTGTATTGGTCAGACTGACCTTTATACATATGTATATATACATACATATATGTATGTATATCCACGAAGTTGCAGGCAGAACAATCCTTCGCAACATGTATTGCGACTTTTTCTATGACAACACGACATAAAAATTGTCAACAAAGGCCAATATATTAATCAGTATTTTATTCGTTATTAATACGAAGGGATACATAACAAGCTGTTTAAAGATTCTTGGTGACAGATAGAGGATAAATATTTGCACAGAATTTATTACATTGGAGTTGTATTATAGTTGTATTAAAATTAAACTATATTAAAATTAATATAAAGATATCGATAACTCTATTTTTTTTTTACATACAGAGCAGACCAGAAGGTTTGTGATTTTTTTGTATACATTTGGGAAATTTAAAAATTTTCATAGAAATTTCAAACTTTTTAAACAGAATTTTCACGTAGTTTCTTAATTATAAAGTACTAGTGCATCCTCACTCGCCTCGCTAAATATACGAAATAGCTGCGTATTATATTAGGTGTAATTTATTTCAATTAAACTCAGCATAATTAAACTCAGCCAAGAAATAAGAGATTTAAATGTTTTTATCTTTTTTAGCCCTCTTCAAATTTTTTCACACTAAAACCTTCTTAAACTTCTTTCGTCTGATACTCATATCGTGATACATATTTTAATTACCTAATTTCCTGAATTCATGTGGAATTGACTTTTTCAATTAGGTGGTAACCCTTTTCCATTTAGTTAAGCAATAAAGCCTTTTTAAAATTATTTCGGTTGAGACCCATATTGTAGTAATCCATTTAACTTATTATTTAATTTGGTGGCAACGCTCTTCAAACACCTAAAAAAAATGTAAAATTTCAAACTAAAAATTTCTTAGTACCCTTTTGTTTGGAAATTTGCACTCGCGTATAATTTAATTGAATTCAACTTTTCAAACAGCTGACAACCCTGTTCAAATTATTTTCAAACTACAATCTTCTTATGCCTCTGTCGTTTCATACCCATTGAATTTGACCTTTTTAAAGAGGTAGCAACCCTCTTACATGTGGTTTAGATATTAAGCCTTTTCAAAACCATTTCGATTGATACCCATATTGCAAAGATTAATTTAACATATAAAATAATTTGAAGCCAACTCTTTAAACAGCTGGTAAACCTGTTCAAATTATTTTCCAACTACTTTGAAAAATTCAGTTTATATGAGTGCTGTAAAATGGTTGTTCAAATTTGCGTTGAGCAATACCACCAGCTGTGTCAGAACTAAGAAGGACTTCTCCCAGCCAAACGGGGTTTCAGACAGCGCCACTATCTTTCATTTGATTTCTTTCATCTCATGTTAGAGAAGATAATATCTAATATAGGGTTATTCATCTAGACCCGTTAGCATAAGCCGATGACATTGAAATCATCGGGAATAAAAAACGCGAAGTCCAAGTTGGAATCAAAGCAAATTAGTCTGATGGTAAACGAGGTCAAGATGAAGTATCTCTTATATTCAGACAAACAGTCAGAGCATAAACGTCTCGGCACCCGCATCAATATTAACAGTTAGAAGTTTGCAGAAAAAGACGACATCGTTTATTTGGGTACCACAGTTAGCACCGACAATAATTCCATACCGACAATAAACTCATACCTCAGCAGAATAAACGAAGATATGCCCAGCATGCGGAGAATCACCGCACGACTCACGGCACCTCTTCGCAAGCCCCCATAATCCCACCCAGCTAACGCCCTTGTCCCTATGGACAGATCCTGTTGAAGTTGCGCACTTCCTGGGCCTCCCCTTAGCTGAAACAGACAACAATGTTGATGGATGAACCGACCCGAGCGGGGCTTGGTAGCCGCTACAACAACAACAACAAAAATAATTCCATCCTCGAAATTCAACGCAGAATCACAGTTGCCAACAAGTACTACATTGCGCTGAGTGGGCAACTGAGAAGTAAATTCCTCAAAGCACTGCCGCCAAGAGCCTCACACCTTATCCGTGCAAAGGCTGGGCAGATAGGCAAAAAGTGTTTCGTTGTCTCATGCTTTTCACAGCAGGAAGGGCAAACGGGGTTGTCACGAATACCGATCATAGTCAAATGTTTGCGCCACGAGAAGTGACCAGTCTACAATTCCACAAAGTATCTGCAGGTCTATCAGCTCAATGAAAGCAACTGCCTAAGTAGAACTTCTGAGATTGGGGGTGCCTTAGCTGGCTGAAGTTGGGAGTACTATAATTAGTTGCAGGTCAGGTACTCCCGAAAGACGTGGCAACCAGAGTAAATCATAATTTTGTCGAAACTTCGATTGTCGAACTCTTTTTAGCCATTCTTTGTTAATACGTCAAGAGAGTTTTCTTTCGTGAGGGTCTTATACTTATATGCTAACTAAATACTTAAAGAGCATAAAATTTAACTACTTTCAGTAAGTTTACAAATTGGCTTAAAACAGTGCATTTAAAGTCAGCTCTAAAAAATAAAGTAATAGCTACTTACACTTTTTATTCCACGCGAAGAAAAACTTCAAAATGCAATGCTCTAAATGCAACAATATATTTGTGCCGTTTTGTGCTTCTAAGTATGTGCCAAAAAAACACTTTAAAATCCTGTCAGGCTCAGCGAGCATCCTTAGCATAAGCTGGATTATTATCAGCTACCAAATTTAATACGCCATCCAGGTTGAATTATCGCCGCCTGCTGTAATGCAGCTAAAAATATGCAATTAACCATATTGTCTCAGCGTCCAGCACGTCAATGTCACCGCCCGTGACGGTAACTCATTCAGTGTCTAAGCTGCTACCGATGCGGTACGGCAGCCAAAGCCACTGAAGGCATGCATTAGTGCCAGAGCTGAGAGTAAGTAATGTAAAGTTGTGCATTGTTAAGTGCGAGTATGTGTGTGTGTTTTAAGTATATGCATATCAGCAGTCTAGGTAGCCTCCTCTGTAGTTCCTTGTAGCTAGCATATAGCCACAGCGGCATGACAGCCTGCAACACTGACAGGTTGTGAAGCTATGGGGAGCATCGCACGTAGTTAGATATACGAATACAGTAAACTATGAACTCACTGGATATGTAACAGGGGCGCATTTGTAGCGGGCGTGCAAGTTTTTGGCTGTGGCTTCTGCAGCGGTGTGCTACATAACGTTTAGTATCTTGTTTAGATGTCACTGTCCCAGGTATGTATGTACATACATACATAGGTGGTACGTGGCAGCTCTGCAAAATATCACTGTTGTGGATTGTCATTGCCTGCTGTGGCAGACAGTAGCGGCGACCACAGCTACGCATACCAACCAACTCATTTCCTTCGACTTATTTTTGTGCTGCCTCCTCATCAACGTAGCGTTGCCATAATTTATGTTGTATAAGCTCAATGCTGAGTGCCAGTAAACTAACTGCATAGCCAAAGATAAGAACCAAAAGTGCTGATGCAAAGGTTTGTAAGTCCACCTGTGCGCGCGAGTGTGTGTGTATGGGAAAGAAAAAAGGAGTATGATTAGTATGAGAAGAGAGTGTGAAGATTAGTTGGTAGTAAAATTTCTTATATTTAAATAGATGGCAGCCTAGTTTTTTGCTTGCGTTAGCTGTTAAGAAAAAGTTTGCAAATTTTTAAGTTGTGCTGTGCATATTTATGGAAAGAATAAGTACAAATGCGAATCAGGATACGAATGAGGATACGAATTACGAAAATTATAGAGAAACGACATGAAGCATCGATAAATGCATATGCTAATTATTATATCGTTAAGTATATCGACAATGGTATCATTACATTAATTTAATTTAATAATAATAATAATAGATTGGCGCTTACACATATGTTAGTGTTTGGCCGAGCTTCTCCTCCGACTTGTGGTGTGCGCCTTGATGTTGTCACACAAAGCGGAGGGACCTACAGTTTTACGCCGACTCCGAACGGCGATTGTATTTTTATGAGAAGCTGTTTTTCATGGCAGATATGTCTGCTAAAATATCGGAAATATAGCTCTAACTATTTCGATAATCATATATATCAATATTTAAAAGATATCGTAATTTTGGAATAAAAATCTATCGATATATGTACTCATTTATACCAAAATTAGATGAATTTCGCGTAAAGAGTTGTGCTTAAAATCTTTGCAGGTTGGAAAGTGGATTTTTAGTTTTACAGTCAAAATTTACTAACAAAAGGGAAAATATAATTTGTCACTTAAATTTCTTGTTAAAGTGGCACTTACTGTAAAAGAATTATCTTTTTTAAAGGATTTTAATGTAAAAACTCTAGTGATAGTAGAGAGTCCCAAGCAGTGTTGCCGTTGTATGACTAAAGGGGCAATTTGAACCTCTTAAAGCGCCAATACCCTTTGAACCGACTTTTGATTTTTTATCCTTTTCCAAAATATGTCCATTTTTCAGAGATTATTTTAGGAAATTTTATCTGAACCAATGCTTTTAAAAATATACAACTTTTAAACTTTTAAAAGAAATGCAACTTAATTTTTTGCAGAAACTCGATTTCTGTGTATGTTGGCAACCCTGTTTTGAATTTTGCTGTTATGGTTACTGGTACATGATATATGTATGTTACGTAAACAACGATCCTTTGGTTTAAAATAAAATTGTCTCTTTATTTGCAACATATTTATTAAAGATAAAACTTTAGATTTATTCTATTATAAGTATAGAAAGGCAAGAAGAAAGGCATCAATCGCCCCTCTTTTACGACTTTCCGGTCTCAGTCATTAGCGGCCTCCATACCTAGTTGTGGCGATATGGGCTACAGTCCATTTTGTCTTCCCTGCAAATATGTCCAGTTGATTTATTTGAGGCCTTTTTAGTTCATAATGCTTAGATTCAGAAATGAAGTCTTGCCTTGTTCATTTTTTAGGTGAAAATATCGCCAAAGACCAGCTAACCTTTGGGGTGTTTAATTAGCTTATCTTGCGCATAGAGTTACTTATAATCCCCAGAGACAAGGGGAAACTGTTCAAGCTTTTCAAACACCAAGTCTTCGTCGGTTAATTTATTCCATATCTTCTGTAGTCATTTTCTACATAGAACAATATAAACAGTGCCTCATACAAAGTTTAGATGTTGATATTATTAACGACAACCCTAATGTATATACCGGATTCCAGTCCTCCTAATTGTAGGACATTTTTCTAATTTTTTGTCTTTTGGCCACTTTAGTGTCCGATCTAAATATATAAAATCGACTCACCTCAATGATAGTATTGTTCAAATATATGTAGTTATTTCGGTCATTTGTCAAAACCTGATTTGATTTTGCATGCTAATCTAAAATCTAAAAAACTAAAGGTTTTAAATTTATTTGTATGCATTTTTGAACTTTATGCTGCACCCTGTACAATGATAAGATAAACTTATCCTTTCATATTTCTCGCTTCACTTTTTGGAGTTAATTGGATGTTGCTTTCCCTTAACAATGATTTAAAGAAAAACTATCCTGCCTACAAAGCAACAAAATACAAAACTATCTTTCGCTTACGTCAGTAAAAGTACTCACCCGCAAATCGTCTGTATGTATTTGTTTAACACAACGCGGTTTCGGTGAGTGCCACACTTTTCGCTGATAATCCATAAGGCCCGTTTCCGTGACACGTCGCAAACTGAAAATGGCCCGTACATAAATCAAACCTTTTAATATATGGAAATTTAATAGAATAAACGCGCATGTTAATTCATTGAATTTTTAATAGTGAAAAAACAAAAATTATCGCAACAACTTTTGCACGTGCGAAAAAAGTTTTAACAATTTTTCATGGCACACACATTATCGCATAAAATATGTATGTACGTTGCGCTCACTCACAGGTGTTCTGTTCACCTAAATTCCTAGCATCATGTTACACATCTGCTTAAATTTCTGCCTCTGGGCTGATGGCTTGCGTTTGTTCATACATATATGCCTGTACATATACATATATGTGTGTATGTATGTATGTGCGACAATCAAACTTGTATTAATTTCCATTCAGTTTCATATTTCATTGGGGAATTTACAGGCAGGTATGCTATTACTTACATACTCATGCTAATTTCATATATCTGCCACATGCCACATATGTGGCACCGAAGCTGCTGCTCAATAGTCCATATACGAGTATGTATGTTTTTGCATATATTGTAAGTGGTAGGAAATAAAAAGATGTGTGGGAAGGCCCCAGTGGTTGGAGGAATAGGAGCGTTATACTAATAGTGAGGATCGAAGACTGAAGATATAATATCGTGAACAAACTACTTAAGAGACGCAGTAAACAACTCATATGGAGCTTAAGTGTGGCCACTTCAACATACATATGTATTCGGTTACAAGCTCGTTTTTACCAAGAATTGCGACTATTCGGGTATTACGACATCTATTAAAGAAAAGCAGTATTTGGACGAATCATTTCGGTAGATAAAACCGGCTGTCGTGAAAAATCTTCGTGAACTCATGAGCTGAAGCTACACACAAAAACAAAAGAAAACGACTTGTTCTCCGATTTAGCTCGCTTCTTCACCGCAAAACTAGTTAACGCTCCGCTCCACAAAATCCTCGGCAACCATTTTTACTATCTGAACAAAGAAAAGTTGATGAAGTACGAAATTCTAATTTGAGTAACCCCAAATACCAGGAAAGCCTGCTCTCTTACCGAACCGCAAAAAGGTCCTTAAATCGTTCGCCGGCAGCGCTTGAGGCAAGAACAAAACAGGACTCCTTGTTGGTAGCACATAAGGTGATTGACTCGGTTCTTCCAAACCGGTTTTTTTTTAATATTTTTAGAAGATTTTTTTATTTTTTTTACTTTCGATATCTCGAATATCAAGTAAACCGCATTTTTATAATCGAATAAACATGGCTTTCATTTAATTTATTTCTATGGCATTTTATTAAAACAGCTGAAGGGGCATTAAAAAGTTTGACAATGAATTAAAAAATAATCTGTGTTAACCTGAGTTTCCCATGAAAAAAATTTCACCCGAAAATTTCTATTCCGCCTACAGTAAATACATAGCAACTATAAGTGAAAAGTGAACCGGTTCGGGGAAAATGAAACTCATGATAAGGCTGAATAAGTTTCGGTTGAAAATTTTAATATTTTTATTGAGTTTATAGTAAAAGGGCAACCGCTTCACATTTGGCTGGTTGATCTTCTTCTTCTTCTTATTTGGCGCTGTAACCGCCTAAGCGATTTTGGCCGAGTTCAACAAAGCACGCCAGTCGTTTCTTTTCTGTCTGGCGCCAATTGGAAATGCCAACTGAAGCCAAGTCCTTATCCACCTGGTCTTTCCATCTCAGTGGGAGCCTTCCTCTTCCTCAGCTAACACCAGCGGGTTCCGAGTTGAATACTTTCAGAGCTGGAGCGTCGGTGTCCATTCGAACGGCTGGTTAATCGTTGAGAAATTAATTGCGAACCTAATGAAATAGTTCTTTAAAGGGAAAATGGCCTTTCTCGAGATAATTTGTTTTAAATAAATGCCACAAATTTATAAACCAGGATCTAAAAAATCGAAATATTTTTTTTACTGGAAATGGAAATAGAACGCTTTTATTAATTTTAATTTTGAGTACTGGAAATTCCTCACTGCAGAAAGTTATTTAGAAATAAAAGGTAAACCGAAAGAGAATCTTTCATCGTTGTTTTCTTTGTTGTGGTAGTAGCTTACAAAACTCTATCTAAATCAGTGACTATATGTTGTACATACTAATTCTCATCTTACGACGGATTTGGGCCATGGGGAGACAAATGTAAATGTCGTCGGGGCATCTTATTCAGATTGGGCTGAACAGTTTAAACCTGCTATAATATGCAAAATGGAATCATGTCGAAGTATCGCGAGCCTTACGAAGCAACTCGACCTCTAAGGCTGTGATAGGTGGCGCTGATCTCCGACGATGGAATTCCAGGGGTGAGAGTTGACGATGGTGTGGATTGATTCTCGATAAATGAGTGGTCTCATTTCCTACACAGTCGGTGCTAAGGGCACTAGTTTTTCCTCACACAGGGCACTTTTTTTGTTTTAGTTGTAATTCCATCTACTTCGAACTTATTTTGGCTTATTTATTTCTAGATTAAAGCTATACCCGAGGCATATTGAACAGGTAGTTTCAGCAGCTCAGCTAATTTGATTTTTTTTTTTTTCAAAATATTAGGTCTCTAAAGTGTCAAATATTGTTTTTATTTTTTATCAAAAGGTGTTTTTTATGTGAAACCTTTTTTCTTAAAACAAGAAGCGATTGAAAGCCATCCTTTGGAATGTTCGCTTACCTCAGGAGCACAAACGCTGATTAAATATTAGGCCCTTCAAAGGATTGATAAGTGCTTTTAGAAGGAAACAAATTTATCTAGAAAGAAAGTTTCACCAATTTTATTTTTATTTTTTTTTTCGTTTATATGTCCTATTTCACATATTATGATATTTAAAAAAAAACAGCAGCAACGAAATCAAGTTAAGGTTATTTTTACTCTAATGCTTAAGCTATACCTATTTTTAGCAGTCATGTTTTAACTGCCATATTTCGAATAACTCGAAAACCGGTTTTTGAAAAAGGCGAATAATGGAACACCCCAGTAACATACAAGACAATTGAACGGACGATTCTAAAGTATCCTGCCTTCAGTTTGGTAATCGGAGACAACATAGTAGAACGCCACAGATTGCGCTACAAACATGCCCACAACACGGCACCGTCTGAACAACTCGTTATAAAAAAACGAACACCCTAATGATTAAGTACAAGCAACTTGTATACCTGTAGTCTTCATCCTACAGTAGTATATAAGTATCTTTACTAAGTTTACTCCTAGTGCAGCACACCCGATCCCATGCCTGTTTGGCATCTTATGCTCCCTTGTCATGAACATGACATGTCTTCCAAACAACACAAACCTCCTTCCACTTTCCATTCAGCAGCTGTGACTGCATAAAATCCTTTTATGTGATATACCATATGATAGCTTCTCCAACACAGACATCTAACCCATGCAGAACAATTGTCCAGTTTTTCAATGAGCGAACGTAATAAATCTTATCGCACAGGCACAAACATTATATATGGGCTAAATGTTTATGTCAGAAATTGCCAACAATTCTGTATTTATAAGCGGGAGTGGTGGAGTGCAGAAATGCCTAACTTGATGTAGGAAATGCTCACCTAAATACTTAGATACATATGTACATATGTATGTGTGTATGTGCATGTGAAAACGAGCATGTCTTTTTGACTTTCAGTTAGAAAACTCATCAATTTTAGGCGAATTTACAGAGAAGGAAATTTTTCGCACCAGCAGCATTTAAGCCTAAAAATTTGATGTGCACTTTTTTTCAAAATTTATCTTTTTCGGATACAGACATACATATGTACATACATATTTGACTATTCGAAATTGAGTTGAGACGGCATTTTGGCCTCAAATTGACAGAGCACCTTTTTTGTTGGCATAGCATACACCAGTAAATTTTTGTTCGTCATTTAGACTCATAAGTCCCTAGATATATGCTTCGACCATATATATTTGAATTTAGCATAAAATGCAAATATTTGTGAGGAAATGCACTCAGTAACATCATATTTTTGCAAGTACATATATTTTCTCGTTGCCATTACCATTTTACACCATGCACACATACATACATTCATACACACATTCATTCGTGCCCTTCATACTTTTACAGTATACATACATATCTATCGTAGTACCCTCACTCACTTTTCCCTAAACATTTCCAGTTTACTTCAGCATCCCTTATATTTCTTATCCACCCACCCCATCCTTTTTAGCTGGCATAGTACTTCAAACACCAAAGTATTGCACACAATATTGTCTCCTCATAATTTCTCAATTATTTTTCTATGCTGCTGCGTAAAAACAAGTTGCATATTTTGCATTACTTGCAACCTTCTGTGCTCGCTCTTTGTAGTTTATTGCTATCAGCGGTCCGGCAATACTTTCGCAAGAGGTAAACTCTTGCCTTGGAAAGGATGTTGCATGACCGCAGCACTTTTAACTTTTAACTCAATTTTATTGTTGCTTTGGATATTTCTGTATACTTTCTTGGTTGATAAAAATTGCTGCAGTTGCATGGCAAGTTAGACAGCAAAGGAGGAGCGATATGCTTTGCGAAGGCGAAATATCTTCTTCAACTAAATTGAAAGTATAGGATAGATAGGAGACAAATGAAAATCTAGCATACTTTAGGGGTACATTAAGGTGCAACACTCTATACAAAAAAATCGGTACCGTTTTTCCATCGGAATTGTAAAATTTATTATATTTTAAGACATTCGCCGAAATATTTCGGTAAAACATTACGTTTTACGTGAGCTGGGATGATTTGAAAATATCTCAAAAAATTGAGTTTTCTATGAATAAAAATATTTTTTTTTAATTAGAAAAAAAATCACCTCATATGACAAAACAGTTTAAGCTTAAACAATTTTAATAAAAATATTTAAAAAAATTTCCACTGATACATCACAAGTCTGAATCAGTTTAATTTTGGCTGAGTTATTCAAGTTTTACTTAAACCAATCTCCATTGAAGAAATTGTTTAATATTTTTATGCAGATTTTTTAAGCTTAAATTTTTTTGTAATCTGAGGTGATTTTTTTTTTCAAAAAATTCAAAAAAAAATATTTTGATTCATAGAAAACTCAATTTTTTTAGGCATTTTCAAATCGGCACAGCTCACGTAAATCGTAACATTTTTCCGAAATATTTCGGCGAAAGTCTTAATATATAATAATTTTTACAATTCCGATGGAAAAATGGTACCATTTTTTTTTGTATGAAGAGTGGTGTACCCTAATGTACATTTATCCGTCTCCCTAAAGTATGCTAGATTTTCATTTGTCTCTGAGCTTTCCTATAGGTTGATTTTTTTTCAACAAATCTTTTATGAAACTATTTTTATTTATAAAAAAACTCCATTTTTGGTGGTAATTTCAAATCGGTCTAGGTAACGTAAATCTTAATATTTTTACGAATTATTTTGATGAAAGCCTTCAAATATAACAGACACATTTAGTAATCCTGGCGGAGAAACCGCAACTTTTTTTGATGAGGCAGTCTAATGTAGATATATTTACGTATGTATATAATGTTTTACTAAGAGATGTGACACAAGAAAGTGTAATTGTTTTTTTTGTGTTTTTGTGCTCTATTGCATAACATCATGTTTAAGACATAAATGCTTCGAGTGGATTTCTAAGCAAATTTAAACATACATGCATTAAGGTGGTCCAAAAAAATTTCCTAAATAGGGTTTGGGCCACCTTTCAAAATTATCCCGCTTTCCGTTGGCACCAAACTTTACATTTCTAAGTAAAAATTTAGAGGATGCTCATGAAATGTTTATATTTTAATCTAGAAGTATTTTGTGCAGATATTAACCAAACAATTGGTGAAGCAGCCTAAGAACATTTCAAATTTAAAAAGGCTGAAAAAATATCGTATTTTTATATAAAATTTATATTTTTATAAAAAATCACCAAAATGTTGTTTATCAGTTTCCAAGGTTATCAGTAGCGCATTTCAAGGTCATTGGGCACCCTGTATTAGTTATAGTAGAAAACTTAAAGTTGGTATGACATTAAATTTTCTACGATGACAATTTTGCCCATAGAAAACTTGGACCACCCTAATATACATACGTGCAAATTTTGGACACTAACTGTTATACCACCAGGCAAATCTGGAAAAAATATTTATGTATCTAAAGCGGTCCATGGCTATCACTCGGTTGGATCGCCCTTCTCATAGTCTAGTAGTCGGAACAATTACCCTGACTGGCTTATCCAAACTAGGACTTTTTCCGCAGTTGGGGAAACGAGGAAGAGTTGAAGAGCATCGAACATTATCTCTGTCACTGTCCCGCTCTAGCCAAAATGCGCAACCAATTACTCAATAAGTACTTTTAAGACTCTTTAGCAATACTTTTTTTTCAATTATGTCCTCTAATTTCGTCCTTATAATTTCATTACCTTAAAAAATAAAATTAATTATAACGGCATTGTCGATACCTATTCGTCCTTGTGAACCAAAAACCTTTAATTTTTTAAAATTCAACAAAATTTTCTCTTTTATTTGATAGCGATATTGTTATTCTACATTGCCTACTCATCATCCTTTCACAAATAAAAAAAAGGAAATATTACACGAACATTTCTCTAATACAGGGATAGGCAGATTTTTGACTCTTAAAGCCTTCAAAGAGTCAGCAAGTGCTATGCAAGAGCTTAATCAGTTCTCAGGGTAAAAGGGGTGTACAAAATACATTAAAAGCATCATATATATATTAGTAATGAGAGTCGGAGTACAAGAAATTTTAATACGCTCTTCTTCCCCCTTTATGCTGGCTCTTGATGCTGCCCCTCATCTACTACCTAAATGTTCCAAGCCGGCTCCTAAGCGCAAAAAGCTCCTGAAAGCAACTGTGCCCATCTCTGCTCTAATACTTCGTCTCACTGGATTTATAGGATTTCATTTTAATACGTACATTAAAATGCCTTTGCAACCCGATTTATTAATAAAAAAAAAATAAAAATAAATAAATGCAAATTCATTTTAAAGTATTAATTTTTTCGCTGGCAAATGACAAACACAATCCAACCACAGTGATGAATACACCCGAATAATATCTGGATTTATGCAGCAAAACTAACGCACGCGCACACACACACGCACGCGCAAATATTTACAAAATGAAATCTAATAATACATGAATTATATTTCCATACCTATATGTGGCTAATAAAATGTAATTGCTCTTAGTTACCCGTATGTAATCATTTTGCGCAATGGTGAACCCTTCTGCACGATGCTAACCATTTTTTGTGGCGGAAATAGTTGAATTTCTGTGAGTTCGCAAATCTCCTTTTCATTGAATGTGTCTGCAATTATTTTATATGCAGTTGCCACATCCACATGAAAGGCAAACTCTGAAAGAAAAACAAACAAAAAATTAACTTATTAAAATAACTTGATGTCAAAAATAAATATGCAGCATAACATAGAGCAATGCACTGCATTGGCTAGAGGCAAGCAGCGAAAGCAAATACATACTTAAGAATGAGAAGGCGAAACGCAGTAGCATATAAAATATTTGATATGAATATTATTTGCAAAAATCCAGCTAATTTGAATTATAATAATAATAAATCTTAATAATAGCAGTGAAAACTTTACATACATATGTATATATGTATGTACTTATATTTCCCCAGCGGCTAGGCAGTGATATGTGAGAGCCATCGTGGCGTATGAGTAACCTAAGAGCAAAAACATTTAAAATCCCATAAAGGCATATGATTACAGCAACTGCAGTCCTGTGTGTGCGTGTGTGAGTGTATATGTATTTGTGCACTGCATATTTACTTTAGCAATTATCTGGCAAACCACAATGCGTATGTGCTATAATAATTGCAAAGGAATATTAGATGCCGTCGCCTGAGCGCACACGTCTGCCATGCAGACAAGTACAATTTTACATATTTGCAAATATGCGTACATACATACATACTTACATGACTGTTTGCGAGTATATTTTCTTTCTTTTTATTACGCTAGCAAGCTAAAATTACAATTTCGTAAAAAAAGATTTAAAAAAAAACAAAATAAAATGAGAGCTAAATAAATGTAAAAAAAAGCAGCGCAAGTGCAAGCGACCTAGGGGGAAAACCTAATTCAAATGCAAATGCATTTGCATTGTGGCACAAGTATGCGGTTTCAATGAACCAAATATAACTAACTAACAACTATACATATGTACATATGCAAATTTTCACATGTAACTACATATGCTCTTGTTTCCAGTAGATAATAGAAAAGTGTAGCATGCGATCCCTTGCTTGAAGCTGACCAACTTACATGCATCTGAGCATACATATGTACGGTGACGAGAAAGTAAATAGGTAAACGACATTGTTGTTCATAAAATTTTAATTATTTTTTCTATGAAAATATAGTTTACTATCTAAAACCGTTACTCTCTAAACCATGTAAATCAAAATTCCTAACTTTGCAGAACATTTCAAACTTTCAAATAAATTTTTTTTTTTTTTTAATTTTTTGAGTATGCAATTTTTGAGGCCATTAAATTTTAGTGTAATCTTAAAGTAGGACCCGCCGTTGATTTTTCGCAATTTTTTGTAGGCGCATTTTCTTCCATACACAGTATTGGAATTGGAGAAAATGAGCAACACCTTCCACAAAAAAATAATCGCTCAAAATCAACGATAAGTTCTACCCACCTATACTTTACCCAACTAGATGAAATTTTTGTACAAAGTTTGAAATTTTGACATACATATATGATTTTTGTTAAAAAACGTAAGTGCGCTTGGGCCACACTGGAGAAGTGAAACTTACGTTACATTTCTCTTTTGTCTCATAACCAATATTCATACATACATACATACATCTGCTTTTGTTTAAGGTCCTATTTTTTGTCTTTTTTCTATCCAGATCCCTACCTCTACACCTGCTCGTTCTAATAACATTTACGTTATTCTGTTTTCCTTTATCTTTATTTCTATCTTTATACTCTATCGATAGTAACATCCAACAAAATATCGATAACAAAACCGATAAAAAAATCTACGAAAAATTCTCTACAAATTTCGACAGCAAAATCGAGAATAATATTGGTAGCAAAATCGATTAGAACATCAATAAAAATAATGATAGCAAATTCTATAAAAATATCGATAAAAACATCGATAACGAAATCGATAAAAAACCAATAACCAAATTGGAAAATATTCGATAAATAATCGATAAAAAGTCGATAAATATTCCATAAAAAACTATTAATAATTGACTACAAAATCGATAAAAATATCGATAACAAAATCGATAAAAACGTCGATAACAAAATCTATACAATATCGGTAACAAAATAAATAACAATATCGATAAAAAATATTGAAAACAAAATCTTTAAAAATATCGATTATCATATCGTAGTTCCGAAGATATCGATAGCAAAGTCGAAAACAATTTCGGCACAAATTTTAATTACAAAATCAATAAAAATATCGATAATAAAACCGATAAAAATATCGATTATTATATCGATAAATCCCAAGAGCCCCGAAAATCTCTAAAATCCCAAAATAGTTCCTAGATTGAGTCTTTGTGTCTCATTCTATATCTTTATCTCTATAATTACCTTTATTTTAATCTTTCTTCCTCTATCTTCATCTTTACTCTTATCGGTATCCTCATCCTCACCTTTTTCTTTGTATTTATCTTTGTTTTTAATTTCATATTTATAATTTTCGTCATCCATTCCCCTTTACCTTTGCCTTTATATAAGTAAAGTGTTTAAATTTACCTTGATTTTCATTTTATCTTTACGCGTCTTTGTTTTTGTTTTTATTTTATGTTATGTATATGTTATCCTTTTCTTTATCCATGTAAGTGCTGGCCTATCCTCTCATTCTTGTATTGGTCTTTCTAAAGGTGTTATTATTTAACCTTTTATTAGCAAGTTTTTGTTAAATTAATACCATGTGCATACACAAAAGAAACACTTGAGCCCCAACCATTTCCGTTGCACCATTTCCGTGTGCAGTTTCCGTTGGATTTTGCCAATTTACTCCGAACCAAACAACCGCCGCTTCACTTCGTTAATAAACATTATTTAAACGAAACGAAAATAGCCAAATAATTCTAAAATGCCCCTTCCCTATTTATATTTTCGCCACTATATATATGTAGTAGATTCTTAGCTCTTGGCAATGCTATTTTTAAAGGCAGTTAGCAATGTGCGCCATTGTATGCAAGCATACATTTATTTTTCTCGAGGATAGTTTTGCCTTGGCATATTCGAGAATAATGAATTAGCAAGTGGAAAAATTAAACCAAAATATATGTGTAAGAAATTCCACTGTGGCATTCCGAGAATTTGTAGAAAATAGATAGAAAATTTAGGCTACTATGCTGAAGGCGTTTTTAGCAGCTGGTTTCTTCTCCGGTTATGCAAAGCCAATGAGCATCTATTTTGCATTTATTCGTATGGACACATACATCCCTAGATACATAAGTACATACATATATGCAGCGGAGACTGCACATCAAATTTAATTATTATGAGAGAAGTAACTACGCATACTCGTATCAGAATGCATCTAATTCAACCGGGACGCCTGAGCTAGCACGATTTGATGTGACTTGGTTATTTAGACTAAAAGCCATTCTAGGGATACTATGCAGTGTTGCCAGAGAAAAATCTCGTTTGGAGCTAAAAGGGGTGAAAAAGATCTAAAAAGAGCTAAATAATAGTAGCTAAAATGAAGACCTACATATTTTTGTTAAGGTTGAGCATTTATTGACGTAAGGTTGTTTTTACATTTTCTGCAATTTTAATTAAAAAAAAACGAATTTTATAAGTTTAAGTGCTGAAAACATCTTTTAAAACCAAAATAAGGTGCATATATTTCGAACTAGTTGCTCTGGCACTTATAACAGTGAACTAAAAATACCTTACAACCTGCCAAAGTCTGTAATTTCAGATATTTGAATTGAATAATTTTTTCGCGAAATTTTTCTGGAAAGTTTTACTTCCAGCTCTTCTTAAACGTAAAATTAGTAAGGTAAAAAAAAATCCGTGCTATCAGAAAAATTATTTTCTTTTAATCAAGGAATGAAACCGATTCAAAATAACGTTCCGGTTTGGGTTTCGGTTTTGCCAAGTGTTTCGGTTTCGGTTTTGGTTTCGTTCTTCAAAATTTATTTCGGTTTTGGTTTCGGTTTCGTTCCGGTTTCGGTTTTTCACAGAAATTTTGTTGATATTATTTAAATCACAATGTCTTAAACGTTGA